AGTGTGAGAGTGAGAGAAAAAGGCAGTGTTTTCATTATAGTGAGAAGATTGAGTTTTGTTATCGCTAGCCACAAGAACTGTTTTTTTTGTTTCTTTGAAACATTTTTACTTACAAAATTGCTTTTTAGATCAGCATCAGGCAACAAAGTGCACATTTCACTGCCAGATAGCGGTCTAAAAATAATTTTGAAAGAAAAATTTTGAAATTTTAAAAAGGCGTTCTGACATCCGCGATCAAAATCTCGACTTTCTGAAAATTAACAAAGAAAAAAGCCAGCCAAATTGCTTGTGAGAAGCCTGAGGGAGAGACCATTCTACCAAAGTCAAGGGAGTGCTCAGTCCCAAGCCTGTCATTAAAGTTCTGTTACTTAGGTTTGTATCGAAGAGAAATTACTTCATGCCTACGCTGGCAATAAATTGTAAAGCCTGGGGAATTATCCAGTGGTACAGGCCAACAATATAGCTAGGAGATGGAATGTTTCTCAATGCTTGTAACAAATTTACATGCACAGAGACTTGCTAGAATACTCATATACACAGTTCACAGACATTCTCATGTGCACCCAATAAAAATACCAAGAGTAGTTGTCTTAAGGAGAAGATTCTGACTTAAATAGTAGAAAATTCCATCTTCACGGTGTTTGTTTGGATCCTCTAGCTGCATATCTTTTGTAGTTTGTTTAACTATTTTACATCACCGATTGTGCCTTCCAGTCCTATATGACTAATCCCAGCGTGATGGAATATTCTGTGAACCAGGTTAAGGGAGGTTTAATTTTTGCTTTTCACACCATTCACAAACCTGTGAATTTAAATTGACTGTTTAAAACACAAATACGTTTATGACAAGGAGCAGTCTACATTAAAGGCTTTAATGGACTCTTGCTACACTTCAATTTTTGTTTTACTGACAACAGCACATTTACAAGCCTGCCAGTGGAACTCTTATTGGCTTGTCTAGCAGAAGGTTCAGTGCTTCTCATAAAAAAAGCAGTGTCATCTCTGCCAGTTAGGTGTTCTGGAAGGATGAGATCAAATGGGCTGAGGGTGCCTTTTTTTTTATATACCTCTCTTGTAATGTTGTCATTACCTTACAGGACTGCCTTCAAAGTCAGAACTGTCACAAGAAGCAGCACTGTAAGCTAAGCTGGGTATTAGGGCAATTCCACTGAATCAAACCAAGCCAATTCAGCATGCCGTTCCACTTAATATAAACATAAAGATGAAAACTGATATCAGTAAAACCAAATTTACAGCCATGCACTTATGTTCCCAGGGTTCAAAATATCCTTTGCAGCATAATATCCCATTTACAGTATCAATCTGCTGTGTATTTCTGATAATGTTTGAAACAGTGGTTTTGACTCTAATGTTGAGGAATATTACCAACAAGGGAGCAGGTTATACCTGACTTAGTTATGAGCAAAATGAGCCAGAAATAGTTAGCAATCTGAACGTAAAAGAGCATCTTGGGAATACTGATCATAATATGATTAAATTAAATATCAAGCATAAAGGAAATAAAGTAGGATCACACCACTATTTTAAACAAGGCCAATTTTGAGGAGATGAAGAAGATATCACTTAAATTAAGAGTGGGCTATTTCTAAGTGTATTGATGATGCACAAAGAATAAAAAAACAAAGAAGTTATGTTTATCTATATATCTTTAGTTAGACCACAGTTAGAGAATTGTGTTTTGGCCACCTCACTTCATAAAGGATGTCAGGGATGTAGAGAAGGTGCAAAGGAGACTACTAGGATGATACCAGGGATGTGTTTTTTGACTTATAAGCAAGATTGGAGGAACCTGGGCCTCTTTTTACTGGGACATAGAAGGCTGAGAGGAGACCAGATAGTGATTTTTAAAATTAGGAGGGGCTTTGATAAAATAGATAGGTTAAAATAATTTTCACAGGTCGTTCAGTCAGTAATAAGAGAAGATCAATTCAGGATAGTTACCAAAGGAACAATGGGAAAACTCCTCGATCAAAATAGATAATTCACTTCATAAACACAGATCAAAGCAATGGAATCATATTTCTGGATGTGGGGGCCTTTTTTGGAGACAATAAGAAGTAAAATAATCATCCATGCCTAGGTCAAGACTTGCTTTCAAAATGTTTGCAGTTGTTTGGGCCACTACTAACCACAGTGTTTCTAACCTTTATGAATTTCCATCAGCATTTCCTGGATTCCACAAGCATCTGCTTTCCTCGTGGAATCAACGTCACTTTTGTTGCTGATCTATCCCCAACTGGGCTGCCAGACCCCAGTGATTCGAACTGTTTCCTTTCCCACATGTTCCTGAGACATCGCAGTAAGCTTCAAACCACGATACGTCCCCTATCAATCCGGTACTGATGGCTGCTTTCAACAATGGCATTCTAAACAGACAGTCTTCTGTTAAAGACTCAGAAGATGAACAGTGGAGAAAGTGGATTAAGGGCTCCAGCCAGCTACATTTTCTCCGCTGTTCATTTGGCAGAGGTTCCCAGAAACAACCCTTCTCCACCTTATTAATTGGCAGCTATAAGTTGAAGCTGACAAGAAGATAAACTTACAACTGACCACCCTGCTCATGGCTACAGTTGCTTCAACTTGAGTGACCAGCTCCTTCACAGTTCACAGACTTTAGACTTCAAAGACACTCTGACATAACTTTTTAAGCATGTTGGAAAGTTACAGAGCCTAGAATATCATCCCTCATTTGTACCAGACAAAGATGGAGAAACACCTTCAAGGAACTGCCAATGAGTCACATTGTATTGATATGTATGTTAATTGCAGCCACTATCAGTCAGGAAGTTGTTGTAAAGCAACTTGGACATCTATGGCCCCAAATAATTATTTTCATTCTTTATACATTTCTTGCCATTTTTCCGTGACATTTTTATATCTCTGCAGTGTTTAACATGTACACACTTGGCTATGCTTTGTAAGTGATGTAAATATGGGGATTCAATGGTATGAATGGAATTATTTGCTCTACTTTTAGTTGTTCAGCAATATACTGTTATCTTTGCAATAATCTTTTGTGTTTAATGACCTTATATAGGTGGAAGAAACTTCGCTAAATACTTTATATATTTACACACGAAAGTTCTATCTATCCGCTAATAATTGTCCTTGTGTATTTTTCACTAATTAGATGAGCCAAACCTGTACCTTTGAAGTTTAGTAAAGATGAATTGACCCCATGATCTACGTGTTAAGATTTTCAAACTGTTGTAAAGTTCAGTGGTACTCATGACCCAATACACAGGGTAGAGAGACATAGACAGTGTGTCCAGATTCCAGTAATTCACTAGTGACTGGTTGGGTTGAGTGATTCTGTCTCCAGCCTTGGGCAGTTCTTCCCTATTGAGCTGTTACTGGGTGATGGGAGCTCAATAATTTCATCAACTAGGCAGTCAGAGGACCCTCCACATGCCAGCTCTGATTGGCTGCCTCGCTTCCCACTTGATGGACATTTTTAGGGAAGATGTTTGCCTCTCCCAAAATATTTGAGCTCTCCTGAACAGGAGCAAGCAATTCTTAAATGTAAAAATTCTAATTGATTCAACACTTGAATCCTGGAATTTCGGCAAACGGATGTCCAAGTTCATACATTTATAATCTAGCTCACAATTGAAGAAAGCAGTCATTACAGCTAATGAGAAACTGGTGTTTATAGCAAGAGGTCTGGAAGATAAAAACAAGCAAATCCTGCTAGATTTCTTGTACCACAATATGTCACACTTGTTACTGCCGACTCAAGGGAATTTACTCTGAAGATAGATTAAGTTGCAACATGAACTTAACTTTTGAATTAAGAAATATCACTAAATTTATATATTATATCAGTATATTATCTACAGCTATCTTATGACTTCCATCTGGGAAAAGTGGCTGACAGAAGTTCCACAGGAGCCTATTCTGCATTCACTTCTGTTCACACTATTTAATTAATTGGAGCAGAGCACTGCTTGTAATATTGTAAAATGCGCTTCTGGTGCCAAGCTGTGTGGCCAGGTGTATATTATGAGAAGACTGAATAACATTCATGAAGACCTGGAACAATTCAGCAGATTGGCCAATCTGTGGCAGATGGATTGCAATATAGATGCATGCTAGGTAATGCATGTTGGAAGGAGAAGGTGTAAACATGCTGCATCAAGGGGCTGTCTGCTAGCAGAGGTGCAAATAGAAAAGAAAAGGGTTCTGGTTTGATTATTTGTCATTCACTTGAGGCTTCTATGCAATGTGAAGCCACTGTCAACAAAACTGATCAATACTGGGATACATCTCAAGGACATTTGACTATAAAGGAAAATAATTGTTCTAACCCTGAATAGATCGCTGATAAGGTCATGTTTAAAAGTTCTATATTGAAGTGGTTCTTTTCTGCTTGTTATTAACCAGCTCGGTTACTTCTAAAAGTAAAAGTCAATTATTCCAGCTGTGTAAAGCAGTTGGAGATGCCCTTCCAATGTGAGAGGTCCTATATAGATGTAAATTGTATTGTATTGTAAATGTATGCTTATAATGGGAATACCCTGTCATGTCTGCCCTTCTACTAACCTCAATCAGCAGCAATGCTGCATCATCCAATTATCATCAACAAAAAATTTCACTTGTATAATGTCTTTCACACAGAATGAAGCTCTCAAAGAGAGACAGAGGGTTTTGAATTGTTCTCTCACTGAATCACAAATATATTCTCACAACTGCAAAAGTAAATTATACCCTGTCTTTCTTCCACTTTGCCCCGACGGCTTCTGATGGAAGGTGTCCTGCTTGCAGATACTCAACTTGGCCCATGAGTTAAGTCTGCGCAGACTGGGACTTGATCTACAAATAGTTGGTCCATATAGCCTAGTGGTTTATGGAGTGATGCCTTTATTAACTTAGCTGTCAAGGAAGCTTATGCACTTTTTAATGCCTGTTGTCTTTTGATTTATTGACAGACAATTTGATAGAAATTGACTGACAATTTGACATGTCTCTTTTCTTTACAGATATGGTTACAGAAGTACGGCTATCTACAAGCTAGTGAACCCAGAATGTCAGTATTGCGCTCCTCACAGTCCTTGCACTCAGCTGTAGCTGCCATGCAGCAATTCTATGGGATTAAAGTTACAGGAACTTTGGACGAAAACACGATAGAGTAAGAAACAATATCTGCTTAACCTATAGTGAACACAAATCTCACAAATGCTTCATTCATCTGCTAGAAGAAGCTGATCAACACTCGCTTGTAATTCAAAGAGCAACATTGCTATCATTTTCATCAATATTCATAAACCTGAGATTTCTATATTGCATTTTAAGGGACAATGTATTTATATATAGAGTGGTTAGAGAAAGCGTGGGAAGGGGGAGGAAATGTAAAACTTTATTTACACAGTATTCAGTATTCAGTAGGAATAGAGGGTTTGCTACTTTGCTGTTCAGTAGCTGAATACCACCTCTGCCTGGACAGGCCTGATCTCCCTTACCAGTGAGGTTAAGATCGGTACCATTGAACAAATTTTGCTATCCTGCAAAAAGATTAGGAAGGAATTGACATGTTGATAACATTTTCTTTTTTTTTTCTTTTTTTTTGAGGAGCAGGAGTAGGCCATTCGGCCCTTCGAGCCTGCCCTGCCATTCAATCATGGCTGATCTTCTAATCTAACTACAGCTAATAACCTAACCCTGCCTTATCCCCATATCCCTTAATCCCTTTTGCAATAAGAAATCTATCTCAGTCTTGAATATGTTCAAGGACTGAACATCAACAGCCCTTTGGGGTAGCGACTTCCATACATTCACTACCCTTTGAGTGAAGAAGTTCTTCCTCAACTCAGTGCGAAAGGGCTGGCCTCTGATTTTAAGGTTGTGACCCCTGGTTTTAGTTTCTCCAACCAGGGAAAACAATCTCCCACTATCTACTCTATCATGCCCTTTGATGATCTTATAGGTTTCTATAAGATCCCTTCTAATTCTTTTATATTCTAGAGAATATAGTCCCAAATTGGTCAGCCTATCCTCGTAACTCATCCCCTTCATCCCTGGTACTAACCTAGTAAATCTACGCTGCACCCCCTCCAAGGCAAGTACATCCTTCCTTAAATAAGGAGACCAAACCTGCACACAGTATTCCAGGTGTGGTCTCATAGGGCCCTATACAGTTGCAGCAAGACTTCCCTACTCTTATACTTTAATCCTTTCATAATGAATGCTAACATACCGTTTGCCTTCCTAATTTCTTGCTGCACCCGCAGACTAACTTTCTGTGATTGGTGTACAAGGACACCCAAGTCCCTCTGGACGCTAACACATTCCAATCTCTCCCCTTGTAAAAAATAACCCGCTCTTTTTATACCTTCCTGCGCCATAACGCTACGATAGGGTCTGCTCAGTCCAGCCAAATACAAGTCAAACCCAGCAACCCTGGGAGACAAATAAGACTTTAAGGATTAGGACACTTGAGGTGCAATTCCAATTTGCAATTTTCATCTAAAATCTGTTCATAGCAAATAAGCATCAGCCATTAGAAACTGTATAAATGACTGTACTAGAAACATGTGTCAGAGTGACTTACGGTTCCTCCGGCATCTTTGATACTGTAAGCTGGCCTTCAGAAATAGATTGGCACAGACATTTGCCTTGCAGTTCAATATTTTATAGGGGTATTCTATCATGGAAATGGGTAGCAGTGCTATTTTGTCCAAGTAGATGAGATACAGGTTTTGAGTTCTATGAATGCCAAGGTCCCCACTGAAGCAAGCTTATAATGTAACAATTTCCCAAAGGCAGTATCTGATTCCAAACTCAGGTAGGTCATTGTTAAGCTGTACAAGGCATTCCCAGTGGTTTCTCTCAGCCACCACCTTGAACGTTCTTCACCGCTGTCATCCCTCACTTGAATAAGCATGAGAAAGTGTTAACCTACACGTAGCAAATGAAAAGGTCAGTCCTTGAAGATTGGACAAGTCTTTTGTCATTCTTTTAAAAGTGAAGGTTATAAATATAAAACGGAAATTATGTCACTTAATTTGTTGAAAAATATTCCTGAATGCCTTGTGTGATTTCAATCAGAGAAAGCAAGGACACTGATTCACAGCCCAACGTTTCCTAGCAATGGAATTTTAGGACTGGTACTTCAAGCATAATAAATAATCATAGTAGGTATTATTGGGCTAAAAACTACGGTATTCCTCAATAAATTTGTTGGTGTGAATTGGTGTTGGCATTTAGAAAAGGTGGAGAAACTGTTGTTAAAATATCATCTTTAATGATAAATTCAGGGCTGAGTACCCCTTGGAATTATCACTGCCAGACTAACTCTGTTTTAATAGAGGGTGTGTTGGATAGATTGAGCAAAAATGTAAAGAAAGGCTTTTAAATCAATAAAATACCTGAGGCATTTTCATTGAGAGTACTACAGTGAAGAACCTCTATTTTATAAATTTTTGGTCAGCCAGGTATCGATTCACGGAGAAACCAAAACTTGTTTAAGACTATTCAAACCAGACTGAGAGTTCCACATATGTAAGCCACCAATGCAAAAAACATTTCCTTCCCCCAACACACCGGAGAAGCCGCAGTCAGTCACTTAATTTAATTAATTTTAATTGAAAAATCTTTAGCTGCAAAAGGAAATTACAAATAATTTTGTTCCTCAGTTCAGAAACATTAACAACTCAGGTAGGGTTGCAGGGGTGAGGGGGTGGCTACAGACTTGTGCTTCTTTCTCAGAACTCCACAGTATGTTAGCTTGACTGTGAAGAACAGAGCCTGTATTATTTCTTTTGGTCTGGCTGTGAAAGCCTTTCACAAGGCTTTGATTTGTTTTTAATAAATCAAATGTATTTCAGCTTGAAAGAACCCAGAAGACGTTTATCTGACATTCTAAAGTGGAGGTGTTAAACACCTCCTGAAAAATGTGAGCCAGATTAGTGCAACTGTATGAAGTTTACATTTTGTCCAATCCTTAAAAAACCCTCCCTGGACCCATCCCTGCTCTCAAATTACCACCCCATCTCCAACCTCCCTTTTGTTTCCAAGGTCCTGGAATGAATTGTTGCTTCCCAACTTTGCTCCTTCCTCTCTGCGACTTCCTTCACGATCTCCTTCAATCAGATTTCTTTGCCGCTCACAGCAGAGAAACCGCTTTGGTCAAAGTGACAAATGACATTTTGTCCATCTGGGACCAGGGCTTCCTCTGCCTCCCATCCTCCTTGACCTCTCTGCTGGCTTCGATACCTTTGACTACTCTATCCTCATTCACTGCCTCACCTTTCACCTCAACCTTATGGTTCTGTCCTTGAATGGTTCAGATTCTACCTCTCACACCGTCTCCACTTCATCTCCTCAACCAGTTTCTCCTGTAGCCCCTGCACTGTCTCATGTAGCGTACTCAGGGCTCTGTCCTTGGTCCCCTCCTCTTCAATATCTATATGCTTCCTCTTGGTGACATCATCTGCAGACATCATCACAGACACCCAACTCTATCTATGTCTCCACCCAAGACTCCAGGGCCACTGCTGTGCTGACAGAATGTCTGTCAGACATCAAGTCCTGGATGAGACCTAACTTTCTACAGTTGAACGTTAACAAAACCAAGGCTCTCCTGGTTGGCTCCCATCAGCGCCTCCTCACCTCTGGCGCTGACAGCATCACCATCCAAGGATGCACACTGCATCTCACTGAACCAGACCAGAACTATGGTGTCTTGTTTGACAAGACAAGAGTCGTGTAGGCTCTGTTGTCTTCCTGGAGCCAGGGTTAAGACGTCTCTTCAGGGTTGGAGAAGAATTTGAAGCAGGAACAATTCCAATTGTTGTGATCCACATAGGAATAAATGACATAGGTAGGACTAGTAGTGATGCTCTAATGAGGGAATTTGATGAGCTAGGGGTGAAATTAAAAAGCAGAACCTCAAAGGTAATAATCTCGGGATTACTACCTGAACTACGCACAAATTGGTACAGGGACAAGCGGATTAAGGAGAAAAACGCTTGGCTGAAAGAATGGTGTGGGAGGCAGGGTTTTCAATTTATGAGCCACTGGCACCAGTTTTTGGGGAAGAAGGATCTATTCCATCGTGATGGGCTCTACATAAACCAGGCTGGGAAAAATGTCCTGGCAAAATGAGTAATTAGGGAGGTAAATAGAGCCCTTGTTGAAAATGCTTTAAACTAGTAAAGGGGGTGGGAGGGCTGGATGATAAAAATAACAAAAACATAGGGCAAGTAGAGGACAAGAGCAACGATCAAGGTAGCATAAACACTATAGGAAAAGAAAAGGTAATAGGAAGTTATCACACAAGGTATAGCAAATCAAAATGTAAGAGAAAAACATTGTCAGAGCATGTAGGTAAGTTAGTGACAGATACCCAAATAAAAAATTATGTACACAAATGCACGTAGCATAAGTAATAAAACATGTAAATTGGAAGCACAAATTCAGCTCAAAGGGTATGATGTAGTAGCTATTACAGAGACCTAGTTGCAAGCTGGGCAGGACTGGGAGCTAAATATTCCAGGCTATAAGATCTTTAGAAAAGATAGAGACATTGGGAAAGGAGGAGGGGTAGCAATATTGATAAAAGACACTATTGCAGCAGTGGAAAGGAGAGATTTCAGTAAGGGCAACCAGGTATTGGAAGCACTGTGGGTAGAAATAAGGAACAGCAAAGGAAGTAAGACTCTATTAGGAGTAGTCTACAGACCTCCAGAGAGTTACGATTTAGTGGGGAAATATATAAATACAGAGATCAGGGAAGCATGTAGCAAAAGCAACGTGGTTATAATGGGAGATTTTAATTTTCACAAAGACTGGGAGAAGCAGGACACCTCAGGTAGTAAAGGTAACAAGTTTCTTGAATGTATTCAGGACAGCTTTTTGGAACAATATGTGTTAGAACCAACAAGAGAACAAGGCATACTAGATTTGGTGATGAGTAATGAGCCAGATTTAGTCAATAATCTGACAGTAAGGGAACACCTTGCAAATAGTGATCATAATATGATTGAATTTGACATTAGATTTGAGAGGGAGAAGGGGGAGTCCCAAACCAAGGTGCTAAATTTAAGTAAGGCAAATTTCAATGGGATGAGGAATATATTGACCACAGTAAACTGGGCTTAATTGCTAGTGGGTAAACCTACAGATGAGAAA